AGAACATTGGGCTTATGCTTAAGCAAGAATAGGCTGTAGAAATCTTTCTCTCTTTTTTTGCCGAAAAACAGCGTTGAAGGGAATCAGGATGGGATTCAGAAGAGAATGGAAAATTTTAAGTAGCTTGTAACGTTTTCCTATCTCATCTCCCACTTGAAGAATGGCCAGCTAACTATTTACTATATGGGTTTATTATTGCATGAGGCTCAAAGGTGAAGGTGCATGCAAAATACATGAAGAGTCCAATTGTCAAGTTGGAAGAAATATAGCAGTAATCTAGCAGATGCCTGGTACATGTCGAGTTTAGCTTTTGTTTAACGTTTTCAATAATACATGATTTTCAAAAAATCTCAATGAACTTTTAAAGAATTTAACCCCCTTTGCTGTCATTTCATGCCACTTGGTTCATAACTTTTGCTAAGTGATAAGGTAGTTTACTTGCTTTTGAGCTAGGGTGTTGAGTGAACCCTGCAATTGTGATTTATTAAATAAACCAGGGTTGAACAAACCATGATTGTGGTCAGCCCGTGAACCTTGCCATACAGTCCCTAAATTCAACATTAAATTGCAGCAAGTTGCCCACCGCTTCCCTTTTATCTGACTCATTCATTATGTTTTCCTTTCCAGCACTGGCAAATCCCACTGAGCCGAAGGTTTCGCTCTCTAAAACTCTGGTTTGTGATTCGGTCATTTGGTGTGAAAAAGCTTCAGGAGCATGTCAGACATGTAGGTGAATTAGAAGTATAAATGTGAATAAGAAACCTTGCTGTTCCTCTCCATAGTTAACTGTGCTGTACTGCACAATAGGAGAGTTGGGTAAATAATGTCTGAGGGTCATCCTTGACCAGAGCAGTGGTTGGACTAGTCTTTGATATTGTCAATGCTGCTGAATTTTGAGGGTGGGATTGGCGAAAGTCACTGGGCATTATTTTTAGATGGGAAGCACTCCAGATGTAAGATAAGCTTTAAAAAGAAATTCTCTTAAATCCCACAAAAATGGAGCGATCTGCTCAACTCTGCCCGCCCTGCCCACAAATGACATGCAGCCCTAGACTGCTCAAAGATTTCTCACCATATCTGTCGTACTGGAAATAATTATTGATTTTGCTTTTGGAAACACCAGGGTACTGAGATGGCAAAGTATTTTGAGTCACTGCTCAGAAGCGACCCCTTGTTTGAAATCCCTGCTAAGAGGCATCTTGGACTGGTTGTTTTTCGTGTAAAGGTAAAGTTTTCCTGTAATATTTAACATTAACTTACACCATTCTCTTCTAATTTGCTGCCCTCTAGTTGCATTGCACTTCAGTCCCCATCATTTTCCTCCAGCGTGCTGGTGGGGAATGATGGGCACTGAATTCCAGCTCATCAGAAGAGTGTCAAGTTGAGAGTTGGCTTGTGTGCTTGAAAGCTGGGAAGAATAGGTGCAGACAAGAACGTAATGATGCTGCCTGAAATCTGGAGTGCAGGACCATTGCACCTGGTTGGAAGCTGAAATGGGAGGAAAACTAACAAGTTTAGTAAACTACGGGCAGATGCAATGAAACACATAACTACTTCCACATGGGACACCACCTTGATGGGAAGTCACATAAATGGTTCAGATACAATAAAAGGAATCATCACAAAACAGGTAAACAGTAATTGCCAAGTAGAAATGGGCCAATCTCAGTTCCTGAGTGTTTTTTTCAGCTCTCATGTTTGCAAATAGGTCAATATTGGTTTATCAAACTTGAAGGTTTTTTTTTAAAGCATTAAAATTAATCACTTTTGGTCTGCAATGTTTTGCAAACTATTTTCTCCAATATAATGTGCTTTTTGATATGATTTTTAGGCTAGATTTTGTTGTTACTTGTTTGGGGGAGACTGCTGTTTTCAGTTTCTTTTCTTCACCATCCAGAGTCAGTTGATTGGGGTGGTACATCAGTGTTGGAAATAAAGAGCTAAATAATTTGTGCAATTTCCTAATATACCTTTTTAGAAAAGTATTATTGACAAACTGAATGGCAAACTTTGGCGAGCTGGGAATTTTGAAAGATTTGTTGAGATGTTGGGTCTAAAAAGGCAAAATTATATCAGTTTGCATTGAAATGTAAGCAAGCCCATTTTGACCCTGCTGCTTAACGTGACTGTTGGAGGGCATTTTGACCTTAGGAAGGAAAGGAAGAACCTCCCATAACCATCTGTGGTTGATGGAATGGTAGTAAAACGACAAAAAGGCAAAGCAGGATAAATAATGTCTTTCAGCAATACTTGTGTTTGTGCCTTTGAAAGTTTCTCTCTCACTGACGGTCATGAAAAACTCCATCTTTCACAAACAGGGTCCCAACTGGATGACCGAAAAGGTCTTAAAAGATCTGAACAAATCAGGAAAGCTGTTTGTCATCCCAGCAACAATTCAGGAGAAGTTGATCATTCGCTTCACTGTAACGTCTCAGTTCACCACTCAAGAGGATATCAGACAAGACTGGGCCCTCATCCAACAGGCTGCAGTGAATGTCTCCAACCTGCATCGTGTGCCAAAACCTCTCATCATCTCAGAGGAGAAGTCCCAAATCCCCAATCAATTAATCAGCCCCAGTCCCAAATCAGCAGGCATCACGCCTCATATTCTCACAGAGAAAGAAGGCGGCAAAGTTTTGCCTTTAAGTAGAATAACTACACAGCCTCGGAGAGGATCTCTCAACTCTTCTTTGTCACTGTTCAATGAATACATCTCAATGGCCAATGAGCGTCATTTGGATGAGAGTTTTACAGAAAACAGTCCACGTGTGACCAACTATGACTTGCCTTCTGTCTTATCAGCTCAAAACAAGAAAAAAACAGTCCGTTCCTTCAGCTTGGACAGCCCTGTGGAGAATAGACCATGTGCCAACAGGAAATTCCTTTCCAAGTTGCCCAAAGAAATACTGATGATCAAGAAAGAAGACTTGAAGAAACAACCACAGTTTTACCACATGCCCAGTTTTCCTGAATGCACCATTCAGTGTGGTCTCCAATTGCCATGTTGTCCTCTTCAGGCTATTATCTAGCTCTTAAGAGCCTTCCTCCATAAAACGACAACCAAAGTCTGCTTATTCTTATGCAATATCTATGGCCCAAAAATATAATAATTGCAGAAGATCTTATTTTTTTTAAAAGAGCCTGTACACTGAATAAGTTCATAAGGTAAATAAACAATTTAGTCTTGGCATCTGAAGTTTCAATTTTCATTTCAGACTGACACTTTCATTTATTGATTATTGATCTGGTCCACACTATGTGTTGAGATATGGTTTTATTGAATAAACCACTCCTAGCTGAATTCAAGCTACACCATAAATCACAGCCAATATAAACATTCAATAGATGCTACCCATTGTCTTCCTTTGAGTCAGGCATCCAATCAATTTGGAATAAGTGTTAGCAATTACCCTCAACAGGGGTGTCCAAAGGGTATCGTTAAAAAAAAGTGAAGATGGCAGCCACATAGTGCAATGAAAAACATAAAAAGCAGGCACTTTGATTGCACCATCATCACCATCTTAACTTTTTTGACCATACTCTGCAGACATCCCAAACCTATTCTAGAAAAAGGGATGGAAAGAATAAGAGATGTTCAGGCATAATAGATGTTGTAAAGATATATGCAATGGAAGAATGGGGGTTGTGTTGATTAAACCACTTCCTGAATTATATGGTTTCACTGGCATGATGAAAATTGGCAGAATATTTTTATAGGAACATCTCTGAGGAAGTTAGGGTTGGAGATATATCCAGAGTTACCTTCTCCTTGACTAATATACAAAGTTCACCTTCTTTCTGACACACACACAGATTTTCAGCTTACACCAAGTAAACAGCCACTCTGTCATGGTAGAGGTTGCATGGATGTGGTGAGTTAAGAAATTGGCAAACTTGATGTGTTTCAGAAGTAAAAGCAGACTTAACATTGAGAAAGGGCTCCCCCCCAAGATGATCAGTTGAAGGAATGTTTGAGGAGTCCTCACAGCATTTGCTACAATACTCACATTACATGGTTGGCCCAGTCAGCCATTACTCTGGGGAGGAAGCATCCTCATCTGCCAGCCACCCATGATCAGAGACATCCAAATGGGGAGGAACCACTCTGACAGCCAACAGTCCCTTCCTGCTTGTTTTGATTTTTGGAAAGAAGGGCATTGGAGAGACTGTCATCCTACCAATTTCTTATGTTGCACACTGTCCTGTGGCCCCAACCTTAGCAACTTCCAATGGATTTCAACTCCCAGAATTTTCATCCAATGCCATGCTGGCTATGGAATTCTGGGTTTTGAAGTCCACACACCTGGAAATTACCAGGGTTGGGGAAACACTGCTCTAGGACACATCTCTGTGTTGGCAATAGAAAGAAACGGGTTAGCCCTCTGTTAACTCACTTGTTCCTTTTTATACAATGCAACTGATCTTTGGAGGCTAGTTTAATCCTTCCCCCGGACCCCAAAAAACCCAGGACTGCTTTGGCGTAGACCTAATCCCATCTAGCTGTGGCAATGGCAGATCACTGGTGGTCAATCATGGCAGATGATACTATTGGAATGGCGTTATATGCTGAATGCATCTTTTACTACTGTTAATATGTGATGGAAGCTCTAGCACCCTCTTCCCAAACTCTTGTTCTAATGGACTGGATGAGGAGTGAATTGGAACTTTTATTCTCTCTGGGCACGTGGGAAGACATTTCCCATTCTGTATTCTGACATTTCTTCCCACACAGACCAAGAGACAGAAATGAGAAGTGCTTGTACAAGGGAGACTCAGCTAGCATATCAGCTATTAACTTCAAAAGATTGTGATTCCAAAACATGTAGAGTATATCCATATTGGCAGATCAATCTGGAGGTGGTAGAACTACTTTGATCCCAAAGCCATCAGCACTACCACTAAAATATTGATGAAACCAGGAAGACATTGGCATTTCAAAATCTAGGCATAAATGTGTAATTGAGCTAAAAACCAATTTTCCATAACTTTCTAAAATTATTTGACAACAGACTTTTTTTTAAAATAACTTCAGAAGCACTATAGTTTCCATCTGTTGCTACATATTGAGTTATAGATGTCCTCTGTCAAGGGTACGTAGGTCTTCTCTTTATCATCCAAAAAATATAAGGTGTCTTTGACAACTGCCGGATTGAATCCTTCTTCTGCTAACTGCACTTTGCGGTACTTAAATGTTCCTGTGATCTCAATAGCATCCTATTAGAACAAGGAGAAACAGCATGGCATTGCTAAGTTGCGATACAGCCCAGGTCTCTAAAAATAATTACTCTATTCTTCCTTCCTAAACATAATGATCGTTGTTTCTTCTTTATGCAACTAATTAAATAATAACCCATAATTATAGTATAATCCCAGGGCCATAGTTCAATGAAAGGCTATTCTTGGCATCTCTAGGCAGATCTGAAAAGGGCTTGTGGCATGAACTTTCATAAGTCTCCCTGAACATGGCATCCTCAGAGGAACTGGGAGTTGAACTACCTAGTATGTGCACTGGGAATTCAGAGAGCTGGTCCCAGGACATCTGGAGGACACCTGGGGAAGGCAGCCTTGAGGAATCATTGGCCATTAGTTATTATAATGCCGAGAGAGGGATCAGTACTTGAACTCAAGATCAAGTAGTTTCATATGTTGGTGTCCCTGGTGCTCTCTGAGTTTGGTGCAAGCTCTCGGAGTTTGGGCAAGCTACGATATATAAACAAGCTATTGCTATATAAAGGGGCAGAGAAAGCTACTGTATATAAACAAGGAGCAAACCCCACAGTTACTAGCACTGATGATGTAACCTAGTTGGGTAAGGAAACGTCTGCAAGCCAACAACCAAGCTCAGAGAGCACCATGGACTCCACAGTTCAACCCTGAGCTACATATATTCTCTTCTATTGGAGTTTCATATGTTCTTACAAAGACCCTGTTCCTACAACATGCTTAGCCCAGTCAATCATTACTCCAGTCAAATCTCCTTATTGGTTGTTATGGTAGCAACCAGACACACCAGTTGGGTCAAAAGTTGTCGTTTTGAGAACAAAGTCTCCATCCACTGATATCTCTTAAGAACTCATGGCCCAAAATACTGGAAAGATGCCATTATATTATTAATCCTTTGGACAGGTAAGAAAGACCAGATGTAGCTTGGCTGCAGCAGCTGATGACTGTTTGGGAGATGTATCCTTCATTATAGAACTCATTTGATGAGAGTTCTGTAATAGAGAGGCTTAATTTGTGTTTTAGCCACTCTTTCTTTACCACTCTTGCTCTTGGAGGACTAGGTAGACAAAATGGGTTAATTGACTAGGCATGCTTGACTGATTGAGTTATTTTAATTCTATGTATGACCCAGTCCATTTGGGGCTAAATTTAATTCCTTGAATCAATTAATCCCTTTCCCACTGCTCTATAACACCTCCCTCACTGATATGTGCATTGTGGGAATAGGGCCTGAGACATATAATATTCACATGGCTTTTAAATAAACTGGTATTAGTATTGCAACCTTCAATTTCTGGCTTCCATATAAGATTTCAGATGTTATGCTAGATAGTACAATCAACTATCGACAGCACAGTGGGAGATATGCATGTTCTGAGATCCTTCAAACAATGCAATACAGCAACATCCATGAAAATTGTGGTTCTCATTCTCTACTGCAAAGACACTGTCACTTTCTATCCAATTGTGAGATGGGTGTGGATGGAGGATGACCTACCTGAATCCTCACAAAATATGGTCTTGCATAAAGTGGCAAGTAATCTTTCACATGCTTGTAGAGAATTTCTCCATTAAATTCACAATCATCTGCTAGTCGAATGGATGCCATGCCTATTCGGCCTTCATGATCTGCAAGAAAGCTGCCATTAATATTTGTTTCTCTCAACTGCTTCCTACTAAGTCCATGAAATTCGTATTAACTTTATTATGGTTACTGGCCAGAATTCAACAACTTAACATTAAAAGACCTGATTATCATGGTGGATCAAACTAAAAAATCCATCTGAAGTGTTCAAATCATTTTTATGTTTTACATAAAAGACAAACACCAATGAGCTAAGTAGTTTTTCAATTTAGAGTACTTGGCATGTTTACATCTCCGTTAGTATGTAGTCTGTGTACACTTACATCTCCCTTAGGATTAAAAACTAGTTTTTCAAAATCAAAGATGAAAATTTAGGCAAATGAACCAGCTTTTAACATTGATACCGTGTTCTTCTAGGGCTCCACTTACTCTCTTTAGAATAGCACATTTTGGGATCCAGATTAAAAAAAAATAAAAAATATCACCTTAAGATCTCCCTCCCTCCCTCCCTCCTCCCTCCCTCCTTTCTTT